CCCACTAGCAGTGGAGGAGTGTTTCTCTTTCTCCACATCCTCTCCAGCATAAACTGTCATTGGTGTTTTTGATTTTTCTTTCTGGCTTTTTAAACTTCAGGATATTGCCTGTGTTTTCCTTCCCATCTCTACTTGCCTTCAAGTCCTGTGACTGCTGACAGCAACTGAGGGCAATAGGATTTTCTGTAGAATTGTAAAGTAGGCAACTTTTAGCTAGATTCACACCATGACTTCAAAATGAAATAATTGAAGAATAAAAATGTTATTTTAGCAAGTAACATCTTTCACAGATGTATCTATACTGTTGATAGTGCCTACTTTATGAATTGTTGCTGCTTTTCCAAAGATATGAACTAGCCCAGCAGCTTCAGCAACATCAGGAGGCTTCCTCTATGGATGACAGCACTGTGGACCAGCAAGGCATGCAAGTGTCAGCTTCCATGCCTGTGGAGATTGAAAGTGCAGAACTGCAGCAGACCCCAGACACCGTGGCAGCAGACCCCGAGGCTATACTGGAGCTGGGGCCACAACATGTGGTAGGCACGGAAGATGAGGAACTCGGACAGCAGTTGGCAGATCAGCCTTTGGAAGCCGACGAAGGTACTACTCCATGAGCTTTAGGTTTTCTAATGATCCCAGTGAAGTCTTGTGGTCCATAGACCAGTGTAATCCCTGATGTCTTCCTTTTGGTGCTGGGGATGATATGCGGAGCCTTGTAGCAGTCTGTGGCTGATCCAGGTCCGCTATCCAGCTTGCCCTTTTAAAATCACAGTTTGTACTAAGCATGTGTATATGCAGCTGTGATGTTAGGTCTTTAGTATTGTCCTTTACATTCTTTAACTGAGCATCAGCTGCTCAATTTTATTAGTTTATTTTAGGGACTTGGTGATTTTTGTTTTTTTCTGATATGGGTCAGGGTTGTCTGTTTTAAACACAAAGCAATCTGACTTCTTGGTGGCAATTTTTTTTCTCCCCAAGATAGGATTTCTCTGTAGCTTTGGAGGCTGTCCTGGGACTTGTTTTGTAGACTGGGCTGGCCTCGGATTCACAGAGATCCACCTGTCTCTGCCTCCTGAGTACTGGGATTAAAGGCATGTGCCACGAACACCTGGCATTAGTGGCAAATTTTTAAATTACTTGAAATTTTAGGCCTACAGAAAAACTTACTGTCCATATTTTGTTGTAAGTTCTTCCAATTTTTTCTAAACAAATGTGTCAGCATGGCCTTCTGTCTGCCTGTCTGTCCAAATTCAGCTTATTCATGGCTTATAGAAATAGAATCTTCTATGTAATTTTTATAAACTTTTGATATATTGTCAACATTTTTCCTTTTAGCTGTGTTCATTAGTATTCTGTGACAAGGACTCCATGTAAATTCCCAGACTAGTGAGTCACCAGTCACAGTGAGACAGGCAGTGCTGGTCAGCAGACAGTGCCAGCTGAGCCTCCTCAGTGTGCTCATTGTGATTGGTACTCTGCTGCCCAGCAAGCCCTCATCTTACCAGGTATTAACAGACCATCTCCTGGCCCATTTTCCAGTTTTTTTTTTTTTTTAATATTTTATTTATTTATTATGTATACAACATTCTGCTTCCATGTATATCTGCACACCAGAAGAGGGCACCAGATCTCATTATAGATGGTTGTGAGCCACCATGTGGTTGCTGGGAATTGAACTCAGGACCTCTGGAAGAGCAGCCACTGCTCTTAACCTCTGAGTCATCTCTCCAGCTCCCCATTTATAGTTTTGTTCTGGGTGTTCTATAATGTATTTAGTCTGTTGGCAGGATTGTACACTTTTGTCCCCAAGGATGCCTGAGTTTTACATAATTACTAAGTGTAGCTACGTTTCAGAATATTTCAATATGTGTATAACTTTAGAACAAAAAATATTACCTTCCTCTTTTGTTTTCAAAATGAGTGGGCTAAATTTTGAAAATTCACAGCTGGGAAATGACTCTACACAGATTGTACTTCTTTCTCTTTGCCCTTAGATGGGTTTACAGCTCCTCAAGACCCTCTCCCAGGACACATGGACCAGTTTGAAGAACAGACTACTCCACAGCAGTCTTTTGAGTCTGCAGGACTTTCACAAGGTCAGTGTAAATTTCAGTGAGTTTTCAAACCATCTGACCTGTACTGGGTTTAGTTTGCAAAAGTTAGGGTATTTCTTGAGGACTTCTGTAAAATTTTGTGGTTTAAACCCAATAATTGCATGCATTTATGTTTTCTTTATATAATATTTTGTAATCTCCTCATCTCCTAAAAAATGACTTTTACAGTCATTCTATGCAGGGTTTCCATCTCAGAGAAGGTGATGGGTTGGAATGAAGATCTGGTGGGAACTCGTTTTCATGACTGGAGTATAAAGCCCATGTCTCAAGGAAATGGACTGGGCACAACATCCTGCCTATTAGCTTACAACTTTGAGCTGCTAAAACACCACCCTAATCTTGCTTCTCATTCAGGAAGCGGACATTGCCTAAATGTCCTTTCTTTGTAAATTACTTTTACCTTTGTATAATTACCATGTCTTGTAGAGCTCCCGTACCTCATTTGTTTCAGGTTTCACGGTGACTGACACGTACAGTCAGCAGGCTCCGTTCCCACCTGTGCAGCAGCTGCAGGATTCCAGCACACTTGAGTCCCAGGCCTTGTCGACGAGTTTCCACCAGCAAAACTTACTGCAGGTCCCCAGCTCTGATGCCATTAATGTGGTGAGTATGTGCAGGAGGGCTGAAGAGCTCCCCACTCAGCAGATAGCTTTCTGTCTGGTGCTGTAGTCATGTCAAATGCACTTGCTTCTCATGGCAGACTTAGGTCTGGTACACTCCGGTTAGCTCATGTGAGGCAGCATATGCAATCCACAGAACCAGCTTTATTCTTAGGACATCTTAACTTTACCTCATCTGGTTGACGCCATGAGCAGCTTTGCCATTTTGACTGAAAGGCAGGAATTTACTAGTGTGCTGTATAAGAAGTTGAAGAATGTTGCTTTAGGCACAAAATGTATTTTTGTTTGTGGAACCATAAATGTTAGAAGGAAAATAAAATTAATGTTGACATGTAAAAACAAATATATAAAACATTTCTTTAAGTAATAGGTTTCCTTATAACATTTCCATTCTTAATTAAATTTTTTTCCGAGTACTCAGATTAGAGACACTGTTTGAGTTTTGTTTTCTTTTTCAAGGTTTTAAATAGTGTTGAAAATGACAGACAAGTCAATAGATCTCTCTTTAAAAATCCACTGATGTTAGTAGTAGCTCTGGGAAGTCAGGCACTTTCTTTGAGGTTGAAACCACATAGTTTTTAGCGGGTGATGACTCTGCTTTGGAGAAGAAGCTGTGTAGTAGCTGAGCTTTACTGCACGTTCCTCTGAGTAGAGCTGCCTGCCTAGTGCAGGTGATGTAGCAAGATGGGACTTCGTCTGATTTGGTCATGGAAGTTGGGTGAAGAAGTAAGAAAGGACCTTGTTTCCATTGCTTTGCAAGGGAGTTTATATCTACACTTCAGTCATCAGATGGCCTTCCTTTCCCTGGGCCTCTTGAGACACGAGAGAAGTCTTACTGTTCACAGAAAGTAGCACACTTATTCACATCAGTGTGTTACTTTCTACTGCTCTGACAACATACCTCAGGTGACCAACTTAAAAGCAGGAAAGGGTTATTTTGCTTCATAATTTCAGAAATTTGGTCTATGAATTACTATCTCTGCTGCTTTGGGGCCTGTGGCATAGCAGAAAGTCATCCTGGGGGCACATTGGTGCAGACAAATGCTTACCTTGTGGCATCTGGGGGAGAGGGGGGAAAGTTGGGGGTTCCAATTTCTCCTACAAGGGCATGCCCTTAATAACAATATTCTCAAAGTATGTCCTCCCCACGAAGGTTCTACTAGTCCCCCATAGTCCCCACAGATTTACAGTTAGTCATTTAAAATATTATAGGGAGTCTAAGATCACTCTTCATAGGTAGTAGAGTCAAGCTGATGAAAGAGTAGTCTCTTATTAAGATAAATCATGTTTATGCTTTGCACTGAAGTGGGTTATTAGTCAGGCATGAGTTCCATATCTATAATTCCAACTCTTGAGAGGCTGCACTAGGAGGGTCATGAGTTTGATCAACATAGCACACTCCAGGCTAGCCTTGGCTAACAAGACTTAGACTACCTCGAACAACCTGTGAATAAATCGCTTAATGGAAAGTAAATACAAACTTAATCCTGTCTGTGTCAGTCGCTTACACTTTCTCTGTTTCATGCTGTTGCAATGGACTACTTGTGTTTTTTTTTGATGGAAAGTAGATATAAACTTAATCCTGTCTGTGTCAATAGTTTACACTTTCTCTGTGTCAGGCTGTTTTTTTTTCTTTGATTATTGAGCCATCTTATATTATTTATAGAGAGTCATTATTCTTGGTTTATATTTCTGGTCATTTTAGGCAACTCGTTTGCTTCCAGAGTCATCTCAAGAGGATCTAGACCTACAAACACAGCGTGCACAATTCCTGGAGGACAGCGAGGACCAGGGCAGGCGCTCTTACAGGTAATCACTGTGAGACCCATATCCCGATTGCTGCTGGCCGACTGGACACTTGGCAGCAAATGGTTATGTGCTCTGCAGCTCAGTTTTTTCAGACTGGAAAGTAGGTTTCATCATCACCCCAGTTTATCAAGGATCCTGAACGTCCTTCTTGAATAATGATTAAATCGTCTCCTGGGGAGTTACAGCATTTACCAATTTCAAAATAATACATTTAAGATTACAAATATCCTGTACAGAACTTGATCCAACAATTAATGTCCTCACCTCTGCTTTGTACTGCCTGCTCTGTGCTTTGAGTATGGAACAGTGCTGTGGTTTAGCCAAGAACACCGACCAACTTGGTGAGCATGCTAAAGCTGCTTTGCTCCCCTCTATTGCCAGGTGTCCAGCTACTCAGCAGTCATACTCTTGAGTGAACAGGGCCTGAGTTCTCTGTGTTTTGTTTCTAGATGTGACTATTGCAACAAAGGCTTCAAGAAGTCCAGCCACTTGAAGCAGCATGTGCGCTCACACACGGGGGAGAAACCTTACAAGTGCAAACTCTGTGGGCGTGGTTTTGTCTCCTCTGGCGTCCTCAAGTCTCATGAGAAGACACACACAGGTTACTGTCTGTCTCCTGTAGACTAAATGGTCTTTAGTGGTCATGTTCTTTCACTTAGTACAGTGCACTGTTCAAGGTTCATCAGTGTTATAGCATGTATTAGTACTATGATTTTATGGCCCATAGTATTTCATTAGACAGATAAATCAAGCTTAATTTACCTATTTATCAGTTCTACTATTTGACTTCTGTGTGAATAATTCTATATGGAGATGGCTTTACTTGTCCACCAAGGAACACGATTGCTGGGCCATAAGAATAACCCTTTTTAGGGTTGGGGATGGTTCTGAGGATAATGATTTTTGGAGAAACTTGCTTAGTATGTGTAAAGCCCTGGGTTCAAAATACTGCAAAACCAAGCTGACCTGTAGACTTTTGAGTTGAGTCAAACTTTTCCATGTCTACCAGTGAATGTTGAAGGTCCTGATAAGTAGTACACAGGGAGTACTGTTCTGGAGGCAGGGAGAGCCAGTCCATTGAGGGAAGGCAGGGTCAGGCTAGGCGCTTCTGAGGCTCTGTTCCATCAGAAAGGGACTGTAATGCTGAACTTCATCAGAAGTGAGGCCATGAGAGGCTTCAGAGGCCCTCCTGAGTCTAACTAATAAACCCTGTGCTGTGGCTGCACTGCTACAGCTGAGATGTCAAAGATGGGGACAGAGCAGTCTAGGTTTGTTGTGAGCAGCCTTTTCTCAGGGCTCTTCATGTAGTAGAGACTATAATCAGACAAGCTTTGTTAGTGTCATGGCTAGCAGTATCCAGTCCAAATCTTAAACTGTAAGCAGGATAACCTCTTCTTGGTACATGTTTGTTAGTCCTTGAATACCTAGGATTTCAAGATGACAAAGAGCACTTCCCTGACTTGCTTTTGTCTTTTGGCATAGGGGTCAAGGCATTCAGCTGCAGCATCTGCAATGCGTCCTTCACCACCAATGGCAGCCTCACGCGGCACATGGCCACACACATGAGCCTGAAGCCTTACAAGTGTCCGTTCTGTGAAGAGGGCTTTCGCACAGCGATTCACTGTAAGAAGCACATGAAGAGACACCAGGCAGTTGCAGCTACAACCTCAGCAGCTGCAGATGCAGAGGGAGGAGGTACTTTCTGTTTGGATTGAAAGGTTACTGGTCAAATTGCCAATTTAGTTATAAGTTACAATTTGGTTTGGATATTGTAGTTTTACAAATTAAGCCTAGTAGCACCTTGAATTTTTAATTTAAGAATGTATGATTGAATGGACATGATGTGCGTGTGCCATGCCACATGTGTGGGGGTCAGAGGTCAGTTGTGGAGCTGATGCTGTCCTTACCCCTTCATGTGCGTGTGCCATGCCACATGTGTGGGGGTCAGAGGTCAGTTGTGGAGTTGATGCTGTCCTTACCCCTTCACATGGGTCATGACATTGACCTCAGGTTGCCAGGCCTGTGCAGCACTTATGTCTGCGTGTGTCTGGGAAGCCCTGAATAATATAGCTATCATTTGTGTGTCTCTGTGGGGTTGTATTTTCTGAATATGAAAGCCTGCATGCCCTTTGAGAACAAACTCAGAGCCTCACTGTGAATGTGCTCAGCTCTCCTGGTCAGCATGCACGGAATTGCATAACTCAGCATGTGCTCCTGCAGCTGCACTCAGCATGCATGTGTGTGGAGTTCTTCTAACTTGGGGGTTGTGCTGCCTTTACAGTGCATTTTTAAATTCCCTCTACCAAAAACTAGTGAGCACAGGTCTGTATCAGATGCTTCTGCGTAGTCGTATTTTATTATGATGTGCTGTGAATGAATGCAGAGCTCATTTTTAATTTCCCCTGAAATTGTAGATCAATATTTGTGAGAATTCCCCCTGGCCAGTGTCCTCAGTGTCATATTGCATTACCTCATTTAATCACATAGACACTGTGTGGTTGGAAAGACTAATCTCATTTGCTACCAAACATTATGCAAGTTAATTTGCCCAACTCCTGTGCCTATGATTCTGGTGCCTATGCTGCTTCTGTTAATTAGATGGTTTCTTTTTGTTAAATTCCACAAGTGAAGCTGGTATGAGAATGTTCATGTTTTATTTCCACAGGTCATACCAGCACACAGCAGTGTTTTAATGAGTGTAGTTGTCACATGGCCTTGTGTGTCTTGTGTTGAAGTGTCCATGCCATTTACAGCCTTTTGCTCAGCACTCAGAGCTGAGATATACTTATGGATTCTTTGCTTTCTTCCTGGGTGTTTACCCCCATATACTTGTGGTCATCTACCCATAAGGTTACAAGTCAGACCATAGGACCCCCTCCTGTGTTATACTAAAATGAGACTAGTATAGATTTCTCTTACAGTTTGAAAAAGTAAGTCTTTACACTTTGCCTAAACCACTTTAAATTACAAAAGCCTTGATTCAGTGTGGCAAAGCAGTTATTCAGTCAGCTTCATCAACAGACAGTCCCGAGGACTTTGGCTTCTGTCCTTTAGCCATCATGGACTCCTGGTCCCTCCTTCACTTGTCAGTTGAGTTCCCATGAGCCCTAACTGGAAAAGCAGCCGTTGACTGTCTGAAATGTGGCTGAATTAAGTTACTACACTAACCTTATGTGCTTCATCTTCCTTTTCTCATGTTGAAACTTGGTTTTTAATGGGGATTTTGGACTTGTTTACCTATGCTTTTAATAGACACGTGTGTGGAGGAAGAAGAAGAAAATTCTGACAGAAGTGCATCAAGAAAGCCTCGTCCTGAGGTGATCACTTTCACAGAAGAAGAGACAGCCCAGCTGGCCAAAATTCAGCCTCAGGAGAGTGCTACAGTGTCCGAGAAGGTCCTGGTGCAGTCAGCTGCAGAGAAGGACCGCATCAGTGAGGTGAAGGACAAGCAAGCAGAGCTGGAGGCGGAGCCCAAGCACGCCAACTGCTGCACGTACTGTCCCAAGAGCTTCAAGAAGCCCAGCGATCTGGTGAGGTGAGGACACTGTCACCTGTATCCAGAGCTCTTGCAGATTTGAAAGTGTACCCCGATGCTTTTCACTCTGCTATGGGAAGTTACCCATGGAGCATGTGCTTCTAAGCTTGCACCACCTTGGTAGTGAGCTTATGTAGAATGGTTCTGAGGAACTCTGTTGCTTATGCCGTTTTCTGTGTGATTGTGATAGAAGTAGAAAATGAACCAACTTAATTGAGGAACCCAGAGTACCAGGCTGTGTCGGGTCTAGGAGACTGGCAGATACATTCTTACAGAGGACTGCCATTCAGTGTGAGAGCACAGAACAAACTATAAAGACTAGCAGATGTCACAGGGCAAGCAGCTGCCTGATGACTGATGTTCAAGATGAGGTGTAGCAGAGTGGTTCAGAATTTGGGACCTGAACGCATAGGAGAAGGTGAGGGTGCTGGGTCTGTATAGGAGCGGAAGAAGCAAGCCGTGCCCAGATGCTGCCATCCAGTGTGTGGGGATTCTAGAGCCAGCAGGTGAGGCTATAGAGCATAAAATGTCACAGAGCTGTGAAGTGCATCATGCGTAGACTGCACTCTTCCTTACACAGTGAAGTTTACAAGTTTTATTTGGCTAGATTTAATCAGAAATAGTAGCATATGATTTTTATTTTCATGATTATAAATTTATGAAGTTGTTTGTAAATATGTATATAGTTGAAAAATGAAACTCCTTAATTAGAAGGGCTTTTTTAATAGGCACGTTAGAATCCATACTGGAGAAAAGCCATATAAGTGTGATGAGTGTGGAAAAAGCTTTACTGTGAAGTCCACGCTAGACTGCCATGTGAAGACTCACACCGGTAAGGACTGATCCCTCATCGCTACAGATTCCTTAGGCTGTATCTGCATGTTTTATGCACAAATGCTTCAGAATTACACAGAACTCAAAATTAGGAACTATGAGAAAATAGATTACAAAGTTGTTTTTTGTTTTTTTTTATTATTATTATTATTATTCCTGATGTAAGGAAAATGGTTTAACTCTTAAAGGGAGGGAGGGGTAAAACCTCAGAAATTGAATTATAAATTCCCTGTGTTCTCACTTAAGCTCACTCCTCTTAGTTTCATTGAGATTGGGGTGGTGAGTCTGCTGATTATTGCATCTTTTTATGTGAGGAGAGAATCTTATCCAAGGGAAAATGGTGTCTTGTTTCCTTGGCCTTTTCTTTACCTGACTTGATTTGAAAATCAGTATAACATGAATAATAAAAAACCCAGAGACAGATATTGGGGTTCAAGCTGAAGGTCAGAAAAGCAAAGCAGCCAACCACTAGAGAGCTCTTACCTCTACTAAGGCTAGGGCTATCCTGTCCTCAGTGAGACTGCAGACTGAATACACTGCACTCTGTTTCCATCTTCTTTATAGTCCTCTCTAGTGCTGGGATTAAAGGTGTGCACCAGCACCATCCAGCTTCTATGGCTAACACTAACTAGTGTGGCTGCTGGGATTAAAGGTGTGTGCCACTGCTGCCTGACCTGTATGGCTGACTTGTGTGGCTAGCTTTGCATTCTGATCTCCAGGAAAGCTTTATTTGTTAGATCATAAACAAATATCACCACAAATCAGTTGCGTTCAAAACACAAATCTTTGTCCAGGTGGTGTGCCTGTCTTTAAACCCAGCACTTGTTTTGTGTGTGTGTGTGTTGGGGGGGGGGGCAGAAGCAGGCAGATCTTTGTGAGTTTCAGGCCAGCCTGGTCTACAAAATGAGATCCAGGCCTTAGATCATTAGAAAATACAGATATTTACATTACAATTCATAATAGTAATAATAGCAGCATTGCAGTTATATAGTTATGAAGTAGCCAAGAAAAGTTATGATTGGGGTCACTACCTTATGAGGAACTGTATTAAAGAGTTGCAGTGTTAGGAAGGTTGAGAACTGCTGAATTATAAGGCATATTTTCTGAGCCATAGGTACCTTGTGTGTGACCTGAGGCTAATAGTCACATAGCTCCCCATCCCCCAACTCCATTGAGATTTTATTTGTATTGAGAAATAACTACCAGTACTGTGTTTGGTATATAGGAACGTAGGAACTCTTCAGTGAATGTTAGACATCATTACGTGGTCCACGGGGCAGCATCATCAAATTAACCCATATTCCAAAGTTTTCAGTCATGAGTTTGAACAAATAACTACAAATGGAATTTCATATGTTTATGTGAAGTTCTATGATTCTTTCCTGATGGATTATTATTGGCAATTAAACAGGGATAAACTCATTTATGAAGACTTTCTCATATGCAGTTGTCCTGTATTTCATCAGATTCACAGTGTCTCTTTTATGCTAAGAACTTGCTGAGAGTGGAGGGGCTTACTCTGCTCAGCTTGGAAGACCCAGGTCCAGCACACTGTGTCACTAGCTGATGCCCAGTGTGTTCCTTCAGATCAGCATAGCTGTTCCGGGCTATATGGGGTGGGAGTTCAGCTTAGGTTACATAGGTAAGAAAAACTGTTTTCCCCTTTGGAATGACAAGGTGACTTCTGGAGACCCCAGAGCAATGTAGGGTCCCAGACTTACTAATGCCTCTGTGTGTGAGTCTGTCTGATCATCTCAGGTAAAAGGCAGCGCTCCCTTCCTGGGTTTCTGACCCTGTGCTCTTCCAGGGCAGTCATTGTCATTTGTGCCTTTGTGGCTTTTATTATGCAGGTGATGATGAAAAGGACCAGAGGGAAAGTCATGGGATATATAACACCAGGCACTGAGGACGGAGTTCCCCATCACATCCCTCCAAGTGTGATGCTGTCTGTGCTGGCATCTCTCTTTCCAGTTTCACAGAGAGAAAATATACACTGAGATCTTACATAACCTCTGTACAAAAACAAAAAGGACAGGAATGTGGCCCAGGGTTAAGTCTTCTAGAAAGTAAATCAAATATTTGAGTCCTGGTTCCATGGAGTGTAGTGATTTCAGAGTACAAAGCCTCAAAGGGTGTGCAAACACAAACCATGTTGTGGAGAGTGTATGGGTAGATGTCTGCACTTACCCATGTGGTCATAGCGTCTTTGGTTGAGAGCCTAAAGCACCTTGGTCCATGAAACCAGTGCAGTGTGTCCATGCTGCCTGGTGTAGAGTTTCTGTGGGCTCAAGCTGTCACTGATCCCTGCTGACTCTTGCTGGTGCTCTTGTAGGCCAGAAGCTGTTCAGCTGTCATGTCTGCAGCAACGCCTTCTCCACAAAGGGAAGTCTGAAGGTGCACATGCGCCTGCACACAGGGGCGAAGCCTTTCAAGTGTCCTCACTGTGAGCTGCGCTTCCGCACTTCTGGACGAAGGAAGACTCACATGCAGTTTCATTACAAATCAGACTCGAAGAAAGCCAGGAAGCCTGTGGCTCAGAGCTCCTCAGACAGTCTCCAGTCTGTGAGCCTCCTCAGCTCCTCTTCCAATGACCCCAATGTGTTCATTATGAACAACTCAGTTCTAACAGGGCAGTTTGAGCAGAACATGCTGCAGCAAGGGCTGGTGGGTCAGGCTATCCTTCCCGCCTCAGTGTCAGGTAAGAAACCATCATATGCCCCTCTTAGCCGTTCCCAAAGCAAGACAGTCCTCTGAGCCTTTGCTTTGTAAGGCCATGGGGAAAGCTGCTTCCTTTTCCCTGCTTTAAACTTTGTTAAGCTTTTCCTTCAGTGAGTCTCAACACACTCTCTCCCGGTTGGCAGTCTCATGACATTTATAATTTGCAGACACTCACCACTTTGATCTAGTGGAGTTATCCTATTGACACTGGTCACACGATGCTTAAAAAGTATTATGTTTACACCAGTTGGATTTATTTGTGCACTTACCAGTAAGTGCCACAGTTCTGCAGCTATTTGACATCCTGTGGGTCTTTCCCTTCTGTGTCTTTCTACTGTGGGAGTGAGAGCCAGACCTCCACTCAGTGGCTGCAGTTGTGTTTGTTGGTGGGCCAACCAGTCGTCTCTTTCAGCCTGTATTCTGGAGTCTGAAATGGAAAGATTATTTATTTCACCGGGGTTTTCTTAGAAGGCAGATGATATGTCTATTGTATAAATATTTGTATTCCTTAACTAGATATAACAACATGTAAAACTTTTGTGTTCTAAAATCCCTATGGAAAAGTGAGTTCTGTTAGATTTAAAGCATTTATAGCAATTAAGTCCTTTCACTTTTCATTCTCTGACCAGCTGGTGGCGACTTGACAGTGTCTCTGACTGATGGGAGTTTGGCCACCTTGGAAGGGATCCAGTTACAGCTGGCTGCTAATTTGGTTGGACCAAATGTTCAGATTTCTGGAATCGATACCTCCAGCATCAACAATATCACACTGCAGGTTGTTGACTACCATTGGTTTTTTGTGTGTTAACATTGTCTAAATCACTTGGAAGCACAGAATTTTCACTTAAATGTATCTGTGTTGTTTTACAGATTGACCCGAGCATTCTGCAGCAAACACTCCAACAGGGCAACCTGCTTGCTCAGCCAGTCACAGGGGAGCCTGGCACAGGCTCACAGAGCAACTCTCTTCAGACATCAGATAGCACTGTCCCAGCCAGTGTTGTCATCCAGCCCATCTCAGGCCTATCCTTACAGCCCACAGTGACATCTGCCAATCTGACCATTGGCCCGCTCTCAGAACAGGACTCTGTGCTGACCACCAGCGGCAGTGGTAAGAGCCCACTGCTCTTTTCTATAGAAACTGTGTCTTTATTTTGTTGCTCATGGTAACACATTGGGTGTTAGGTAGTGTAGTGCCATTCTTCATCTCTTTGCAAGGCTCACCAAAGAAATAAAAACTCTATAGAGTTTTCTTAGTTTTAATGGTGTACATTCAGCATATGTCCATTTTATTGTACATGGAATTATTTTTCCCTTGTTTTATCATTTCACTTACCCCCTCTTTCTTCCTTGCGCCCTCTCTCCCCCTCTTTCTTCTCTTTCTTTTCTGTGGTACTGGGGAATCAAACACAGGTCCTTGTGAATTCTAGGGCAAGTTTCTTTATTTTAGATAAAGTACTTAGAAGTGACTGATAGTTTACTTTGAGTCTTTGTGTTTTAACAACAGCCCCCCCCCCTTTTTTTTTTTTTTTTTTTTTGGTTTTTCGAGACAGGGTTTCTCTGTGGGCTTTAGAGGCTTTCCTGGAACTAGCTCTTGTAGACCAGGCTGGTCTCGAACTCACAGAGATCCACCTGCCTCTGCCTCCTGAGTACTGGGATTAGAGGCGTGTGCCACCAATGCCCAGCTTAACAACAGTTCTTTAATTAAGATGCTTTTCACGTAGACCAGGAGAAGTGTGTTTCACTGGAGCTCAGTACTGTTTTGCTTTGTGATGATGAGCAGGGACACAGGACCTCACTCAGGTGATGACTTCACAAGGCCTTGTGTCCACTTCGACGGGCCCCCACGAGATCACCCTGACCATCAACAACTCAAGTCTCAGCCAGGTCCTTGCGCAGGCTGCTGGCCCCACCTCCACATCATCCTCAGGCTCTCCACAGGAGATCACGCTGACAATCTCTGGTTAGTAAGTTCACATTTTAGACGTCTTTTGTCTTCCAGCTTAAGGCCATCTTGTTTGTGTCTCTTCAGCACCCAGTGGCATAAAGACATTGCATTTCATTATGTGACAGGTTCACATCTAGTGAAATCCATTATCAGAAACAAACATGTGTTTCTCACCGGACTGTAGTGCTGATTATTGAGTTAATGTTTAGAGTTGGCCACTTTTGCCGTATGTCTTTGCTTAGTGAAGAGCGGCATGAGAACTTGACTCTTGCTGCTGTTCTGTGCACCACAGAAACATCACTCATCTGAGCTATGCACAAGGACTGTGAAAACCCTTCATGGTGTGCCCTACTCTTGTATCTCTAGAACACTACTGAGGCCATGTAGAAAGCTTTAGGTATGTAGAGCATTGAAAAGATGGTAAATAGGTGGGAAATGCTATTTGGCAATAAAGAGCACCTGACATGGCCAAACCTCCCCGAATGTCAGTCACTGGTTGAAGGTGTCGCTCCTCCCTTGCTGTACATCCCTGTTCCTCAAACTCATCCGATCAGTGTAGCATGGGCCTGGTATGCTTTACCCACGATTCCTTCCTCTGCAGCTTTCATTCCTTCATGTAAACTAAGTCTTTAAAAAATCCAAAAAGCCACCCTATCTTGGAAAAAACAAAAAAACCCAAAAAGCCAAGTTCTTATGTAGCTCAGGCCTGCCTCAAACTCATTGTGTACCAGGAGTGGTGTTAAACCTCTGGTCCTCTGGCCTTTGCCTCCTCAGTGCTGAGAGTTATAAGCATGTATCACTGTGCCTACTGTATTAGTTATTTTTTTGTCATTGTGATAAAACGCCATGATCACGGCAACTTATACAAGGAAAAGTTGATTTGAGTTTATGGTTCCAGATGGAGAGCAATAATGGCAGGTGAGACATAGTAGCAAGCAGCAGGGTCAGAAAACAGTTGAGAGCTGCACAAAGGTAGCAGAAAAGAGTGAACTGGAAGTCCGGTAAGGCTGTAACCTCAAAGTCTGCCCCAATGGCCAGCTTTCTCCAGCAGAAAGAAGGCTCTACAGCCTTCCCAAGTGATCAGTGAAGGAGGGCCCAGCAGATGGTGGGTGGTGCCATTCCTGGACTGCTGGTCCTGGGTTCTATAAGAAAACAGGCTGAGCAAGCCATGTGGAGCAAGCCAGGAAATACCCCTCCATGGCCTCTACATCAGCTCCTTACTCCACTATCCTGCCCAGTTTGAGTTCCTGTTCTGACTTTCTCTGATAACAAACTGTGGTATGGAAGCTAAACTGAATAAGCCTTTTCCTCACCCAGTTGCTTTGGTCATACTGTTTCATCACAGCAATAGTAACCCTAAGTAAGACAGCCCCACTGTTGAAGTTGGCTTATTCAACTGCCTGCCTGGTCATCTGTTCAACCATCTGGTTCTGGACTGGAATACATTTGGTTCAGCTTTTTTCTCACACCTGGAACAACTTGTGTGTATATTTTCAGGGCTGACCATTTGTTATTGGATAATTAATAGGTGTGCTCTTGCCTGTAAAAGACTATTTCTTCAACTTTCAGCATTCTTTTAATTGCCCGAATGGGCTTTGTCCTGTCCATTTTGGCATGCTTTTGTTGTCCTTTTTGAGCTCATGTCTAGGCAGTCATGAGACCTTGAGTGTAGCTTCTGATATACTACTTGTAAATGGAGTTCTTAATTGGTCTAAGTAATAAAACCTGAAGTCAGATATAGGGGGGAATGCTGAGAGATCAGAGAGAAGAAGGAGCAAGCCATGGCCACACCTTACCTCCTTAGGGTCTCAGAAGACAAGAGAGCGAGTTCCTGTTTCTCCTTGCTTATTTCCTGTTTCCCCTCAGCTACCTCACTCCATCTGTCTGTATAGAGCTCTATGGTTAGCTAGTGGCGAACTCCATTCTCTGACCTTCAAACTGATGTTATTTGTACAAGCAAGATATCACCACAATTACTGATAGACACAATCTCAACAGCAAACTGTCTGATCCCCTAGCTCTTATAATCTTTGCACCCCCTCTTCCACAGTGTTCCCTGAGCCTTAGTTGTGGGAGTATTTTGTAGATGAATCCACTGGGGCTGGGCTCTCCACAACTCTGAATTTTGATTGGTTGTAGTTTTCTATGGTCTCTGTCTGTTGCAAAGAGAAGTTTCCCTGATGAGCAGTGAGGAATATGTTTACCTGTGGGTATAGTACAAATGTTTAGATCATTGTTAGGGATTATGCTGGTTTAGTAAAGAGGTAGTTGTAAGTTCTCCTGAAAGATCTATAACCTCATTAGCACTGTGTAGTTTTCTATGTTTCCAGTTCCAGGCATGGTTTCCCTCTTGTTGAGTAGGCCTTAAATCCAATTAGAGAGCTGTTGGCTACATCAGTGTTATTGTGCCATGCCAGTTTTTTGTGATTCCTAGGCATTATAGCTGGGTAAGCAACTGTTGGTTGCTTACCTTTTTTGGAAGCTTTCATGGCACCTTCTGATGGTATCAGCTGACACAGTCTTACAGCAAACTCACCAATCCCCTAACTCTTAGAATCTTTCTGCTGCCCTTCCACAATGTTTCCAGAGCCTCGAAGGAGGCATTGAGGTCAGTGCCAGCTCAGAGCCTCTGTCCTTGTTTCTGAATGAAGTACATGGTGTCTTCAGCAATAAGGACTTACCTTCCACCTCTGTAGGACAACCAAGGGCTATAGCAATATGCTTTGGGAATCCCATGAACAGCCTTTACCAACTACTCAGAAGGCTTCTCATGTCTGGTGTTGAGAGTTTTTTTGGGTGGTCTTTGACTCTTGGAGGGAACATTTTCAGCCTTCAAGAAAAAAAAAAGTTCATTTAAACAACATATGTGTATTTATACATTATTATACATGTATTATATGTATTATAAGGTACATAGTTAATAGTATGATTTCTTATAACTTTTTCAGTCATCCTTATTGTTATTTTACTCTCCCCACTCCTCCTGTATTTATCTCCCTTCCCATCTCTGAAGAGTTCTCCCTTTTGGCCGTGCGTTGGTGACACACACCTTTAATCCCAGCACTCTGGAGGCAGAGGCAGGCAGATCTTTGTGAGTTCAAGGACTGCCTGGTCTACAAAGTATACAGAGAAACTCTGTCTCAAAAGAAAAAGAAAGAAAAAATAAGTCCTCCCTTTTTCCCCATTCCCTGATCAGATCACTTGCACCCTGCTATTTATTCTCTCTGTGGCTCCCCAACCTCCCTACCCTGTCACTGGTCCCTGTTTACTCTCCTGGCTTCTGCAGTTATTCCAGAATATGTGTTCACCTCTGCAGATTTGGAGCTAGGAGGCTCTTATGAAAGAGAACATGAGACATTTGTCTGTCTTGTCTGGGTCACCTCACTCAATATGGTCTTTTCTAGCTTCATCCATTTACCTGCAGCTGAATATATCCAACTGTGCTTGTGAAAAAACATTCTCACTTTCTGTTCCTGGGTGGAAGGACACTGTGGTTGTTTCTGTTTCTTAGACATTGTGAATGAGCAGCAGTGAACATGGGCAAGCAGATGTCTGTGTGTATGCCAAGAGTGGTATGGCTGGGTAATACGGTAAATTTATTTTTAGCTTTTTGAGAATTCCCCACTCTGATTTCTAGAGTGGCTAAACCAGTTTGTAATGTAAACCAGTTGGCTAAACCACCAACAATGAAGAGGGTTCCCTTTTTTGTATACCCTGACCAATATTTTCTGTTGGTTGCTTTGTTGATCTTTGCCATTCTGACTGTGGTAAGATGAAATCTCAAAGTTGTTTTGATTTTCATCTCTAATTGCTAGGAATAGTGAATATATTTTGGGATGTTTCTTAGCTACCCCTTCCCCTTTTGGGAGCTCTGCTCAGGTACCAGGCCATAGATCATTTTTTAAACTCATTTTTTAGTTCTTTATATATTCTGAATGTTAATTCTCTGTCAGATATATATCTGGCAAAGATTCTCTACTAGTCTGTGAGCAGCTTCTTCACCCAGCTAAAGCTTTTTAGTTTTATGAAAATATATTACAGAGCCATAATAATAAAAACAGTAAGGTACTAGCACAAAAAACAGACATGTAGACCAGTGAAACAGAACTGAAGAAGATCCAAGCATGAGTAGTACACCTAACTTCAACCACTTAATATACGATAAAAATGCCAAGAAAATATGTGCTGAAGAATAGAAAGCATCTTCAAAATGATGGTGGGGACATTAGATGTCTACATGCAGAAGAACTGAAATGGATCAAAGGCATGAACCTGAATCCTGAAACCCTGAAGCCCCTGGAAGAAAGCACAGGCTGTACCCTACATGATGTAGGTGTAGAGCGGACTTCCTCAATAAACTCCATTTGCCCAAGAACTAATTCCAACAATTGACGTGAGTGTGATTTCATAGCGCATGGTTTTTGTTTGTTCTTAGGTAGCAGTTTGACTTCAGGCTAGCTATGCAGCTCTTCCTCCCTTGATGTCCCTTGATGCTTCCCTTGATGCTAGCTCTTCCTCCCTTGATGCTAGCATTATAGGCATGTTCTGACACATCTGACTTACTTATCGTGATCATCAAATAAAATAAGACTTTATTGAGTTGTGTCCTAGAGGAACAGTGGTTTCAGGAAAAAATGTTTCATCCTTACTTCATTTGTATCTTCTTGAGATTTTTTTTTTATTATGTATGCAACATTCTGCTTCCATGTATATCTGCACACCAGAAGAGGGCACCAGATCTCATAAGGGATGGTTGTGAGCCACCATGCGGTTGCTGGGAATTGAACTCAGGACCTCTGGAAGAGCAGCCAGTGCTCTTAACCAGCCATCTCTCCAGCCCCTCTTCTTGAGATTTTAACAGATAACAACCAAGAGTTGTTTATAGCTTATCCCAATTGTTTGTTTAAGAAAAACAAATTCTCTGCCTTTCATGTAGCTTCGTGTGCTTTTCAGTTGTACTAAGGGTAGCTCTTCTTGGCAGCTGTCTGTCTCTGTGAAAAGCGACTTGATTGGGAATGGTACGAAAGATTCTTTGTGTTATGTATGAACTGTGGCATTACCTGAAGCTGTTCCCTGAACAAGTGGACTTTGATTTTTCTCTTTAGATTTCTTGTACTGTGTTGGAACTTTCTGATGGGTGATCATCACTAGGAAGTGTGGTGCATTTTACTGGTGGGTAGGGGAGGCCCTTGGTTCTTTTGCATCTGCAGGCAGGGTGCGGTTGAGCACCGGGCCACCCAGGAGTAGTGTGTAGTGTCAACTTTGGTCTGCTCATTTTAAGAATGAGTTGACATGGGACTCTGAGAAACAGGCTTCTATCCAGTTACCCTGAACTTCCAGGCAGTTCCTCTGTGACATTGTTCCTCACAGTGTCCCTGAGTACCTTTCTTTTCTTGTTCTGTTCACTTGTGCATGACAAGGACATGTGGAGGTAGCACAAGGATCACTGTTGGTGGTGTTCTGTAGCTGTAGGGCTGGTGCGCTAGATGCCCTCCACAGACCCATACTCCTATCCGCTGCATTAGCAAACATGCAGGATGGGAGCAGGTGGGAGGGCGCCCCAGTGGCTGCTCTGTGCACACGATCCTGGCTCCTAATGGTTATACTGCTTTTGAAGGTTCCAGGTCTGTGCAGCACATTATGGGACTCCACGAGTGTGGACCTATGGAGGCCTTGTATTTGGAGAAGTCCACTTACAAGTAAGTAGCCTGGCTTTCCTGTTGGCCCCTGACTCTTAGCAGAGGCTCTGGATCGGTGTCACACAGGTCACAGAGGTATTGGCAGGAGCCTGTTTTCTTTTTATTCCTTTCAAGGACAGTTTTATGAACTCAGCTTCAGTATTGCTTTAGGGTCCTCCATGCCCGGCCCTGGCCTGATCCAGGATGATGGGCATATGTTTGTAGGTTAAGGGCAGGGTTGTGAGGACAGAGCATGTAGACCTGGCTGTGCATGTGTGCTCAGTGCTGGTGCTCTTGCAGGACACTGGTAGTCCTGTTCTAGCCCATCTCACGTGCCAGGGGGCACAGGAGTGTGTTTCCAGAAGGAAAGCCTTGTCTGGTTTTGCTTATTCTGCTCTGGATATCTTCCCTTCTCTTATCATTGGCTGCTCAGTAAAACATTTGAAGGCTTTGTTGCATCAAAAGAACATGAAGATGTCATGCTGGATATGTTAATACTAGAAGAATTCTGTGAGATTTCTTTTGGCAGCCTACATTTCTGACTAAGTAGACCTTTAGGATGGTGAGTGTGAGGAAGTTTGTCCACTAAAGTTTGTAACTAGTTGCTTCAGGGGTCTGACCTGGTTCTTTTCTTCAGTGGTCTGTGTTCCTAGAAATTCTTGTCGAGTTTTCTTTCTACATTGACTAGGGCCAGAGATCTATCTTCCCTTCTTCTGGTTTTTCTCTCTCAAGCATGTTTAACTTGCAAATCTGTATGTGGCACTCGATAACTTTGAATGCAGACCAACACAAAATTGTGGATTTACTTAAAACATGATTCTTTTGCCTTTTTGTAACTCAATTGCATGGTTCTTAAGCATGAACTCTGTAGGTGATAATGCTGGACACACCTTCAAGATTATGTGGGAGAAGCAGAGTACATTCTCTTGTATGTGCTTAGAAACCAAAGAAAGCATCTCATCTGATTGCATCAAAGATGACCTGTGATTTCCTTCTTGTGGTACAGAGTGGTGATGCCAGTGGCTTCAGATTAGCTCTTCAGACTGCTCTTCCCAGGCCCTAGGAGAGCACTTACTCAGCTTTCTACTGATTATTTATTTTGCTTCTTTTTTAGAACTTAATCCTACAAGTGGGAGCATTCCTTCAACAACACCAATGTCCCCATCATCCATTTCAACCCAGAACCTGGTCATGTCTTCGTCCGGTGTGGGTGGTGATGCCAGTGTCACCCTGACCCTGGCTGATACTCAGGGCATGCTGTCTGGAGGTCTGGACACAGTTACATTGAACATCACCTCTCAGGTGAGTGTCCTTCAGAGAGAACTTTGGAAAGTCTTCATGAATTTGTTCTTTACCAAATACATAGTTTTGTTTTCTCATTAAAGTAATATATAGGGGAAATTATGAACTGGTAAGATTTCTTATATAACATCGAGTAGCAACTTAGATTGACTTGTCTGTACCTGTTAATCAGGTACAGACCTGCTGTCTTACTAACTTTTTATTGCTGTGAAGAGACACCATAACCAAGGCAGCTCATAGAAGAAACCAGTTAAGGATGGAGAGAAGGCTCAGAGGTTAAGAGCACTGGCTGCTCTTTCAGAGGTCCTGAGTTCAATTCCCTGCAACCACATGGTGGCTCACAACCATCTGTAATGAGATCTGGTGCCCTCTTCTGGTGTGCCTGTGTACATGTAGACAGAACACTATACAAAATAAATCTTTAAAAAAAGCATTCAATGGAGGGCTTGCTTACAGTTTCAGAAGGTTAGTCTGTCGTGATCTGGAGTTGTCAGCAGGCAGACAGGCATGGTGCTAGAGCAGTAGCTAAGATTTCATCTTAATCCACAGACAGCAGGCAGAGAGAGCCTGGGATTGGGACTGGCCTAGACTTTTGAAACCTCAAAGCCCACCCACAGTGACACTCTTACACCTCCTTTTCTTTCCTAAACAGTTCACCAGTTGGGAAGCAAACCTTCAAATATCTGAGACTGCCTGTAGGGGCTTTGTCATTCAACCCCCCACAGTGGCCTTCCATCAGTGTCCAGCCCCAGTTAGCCCCTGTGCCAGTTCCCCAGCTGGTCACATGGCATCCTGGTCAGGAAGTGCAGAGATGAATGCTGGTGCTCACTGTGCTCTCTGGTTTTTATTCAGCCCAGTGGAATGTATTGCCCACATATGGGGTGGATCTTCCCTCTTCAAGCTACACAGTCTAGAAATTTCCTCATAGACATGTCCAGAGGTTTGCTAGGTGACTCTAGATGCATCGACAGTTAGCACTAACCTGATCTCACCGACAGCCTCTGCAACCATTGCTCTTTCTCTGCAGGTTTGTCTGTTCTGTGTGTTTCATGTAAGTGTCATCATACATCATGTGGGTCTTTGTAAATGGCCCTTTTTACTCCGATGGGTTTCCAGGGTTCACCCATGTTATATCGCATGTATCTACTTCATCCTTTTTATTGCTGAAAAATATCCCTTTATGTGACCAAGTCACAATAATACTTCTTCTCTGCATGAATGTCCCTTAAAGTTGGTGAGAGTTGGGTGGTTCTCACAGTCAGGCTGCTGTGAACAAGACCTGCTGAGACATTCTACCAGGCGTCAAATGGACCTCAGTTTCATCTGTCTTTCACTGTGGGTCATATGGTGAATTTTGCTTTCCAAAGTGATTGTGCCATAAAAGGTCTTTAATTACTTTATTTATTTATTTATTTGTGTGTGTGTGTGTGTGTGTGTGTGTGTGTGTGTGTGTGTGTGTGTGTGTGTGTGTTTGGGCATATGTGTACTCTGGCACTCATGTGGAGGTCAGAGGACAACTTGTGAGAGTCAGTTATCTCCTTCTGTCATATAGGTCTTGAGGATAAAACTGGGGCCATTAGACTTGGCAGCAGATGCCATTATCCACTGAGCCATATTGACAACCTCTAAAGTCTTAAAAAGACTATGTGATTTGATAATGTGACAACTTCTAAACTGATGATAATGTTTTTACCAGGGCCAGCAATTCCCAGCGTTGCTCACGGATCCCTCTCTCTCAGGCCAAGGTGGAGCCGGCTCACCACAAGTCATATTAGTGAGCCACACTCCTCAGTCCTCATCTACTGCTGAAGAAATTGCTTACCAGGTATGGCGCTTGCATCACTTACATTCAGCATCAGAAGGGACCGTGCAAGGGCTGTGTCGGGTGGCCCGTCATGAACAGAGTGCCCTATTAGCCCCAGAGCAGAGTGCTCAACTCTGTGGGTTTCATGGCCGTGGCAAATGATAGCTTGCAGACCTTGGTCAGTAGTAGGTGTGGCTTAGAACCACCATCTTAGATGTGGCCAACAGTGATGTGATAAACTTCCAAATTGGTGTTTGCTGTCTGCTTTCTGCTCAGTTTTCTTTTGGCTTTTTACTTGTATTTATTAGTTCTTTTTGCATATTTTCTTGAAGCAATTATTGGTTCTTTTATTTCTTCCTTTACTTTTCATGTACATATTGCCTATGTGTGTATAGGTAAGACCTTTTTCTTGTTTGATTGGTCTTTTTCTTAAAGTGTATGTTTTAGGACCCATACTTGTAGTAATGATAGTCTGAATATAGAAAAGTCTACTCTCACACACACTCTCTCTCTCTTATATTTCCAAATACCATCTTTTCAGTATCTTCTGCTGTTTCTCTAATTTTTTGTATACACTCTTGAATATTCTGGTATTTTGAAAAAGTATTCAACAAACTAGGAATAGAAATTTTGGCAAGTCACATAAAACTTTTTTGTGATTGCTTCATTAGATTTATCTCTAAAGTGGAGGTCTCCTGTGTCTGCTTTCTTTGCTTTTCTTGAAAGTTCTGGTGGCATCCCATGAAATTGACTTGCAAGCCTACTCATTAGTCTCCATGCAAAGTTTAGGTAAAATAACTTAGTTCAAACAAACCAACTGGAACACCACTGATTGCTATTAAAGTTTTTAGTGCAGTATATGGAGGTCCAAACCAGAGCATTTTTATTGCATTTATATTTTATGTGCACATGTCTTGTGCATGCATGTGTGTATGTGTGTGGGCAATAGTTAATGGGGTGGAAACCAGAGGACATCTTGGAGATGTTGGTTCTCTTCCTCCAACATGTGGGCTCAGGGTCGTCAGGCTTGGAGATAGGCATTTTTACCAGCTGAAGCATCTTGCTGGTCTAAACCACTGCATTTTTAAAACAATGTCTGATATTTTACTTGCCAGAACCTTTCATATATGCCTTATCTGTCCCTTGTTGTTCAGCTGTGGTTAAGCACATGGCTTATGTGGCCAGGAGAAGCAGTTTGGGAGCTGGTCTGATCTTGGTGGATATATCATCTTACTCCCTTATTAGCCAGTGTCCTTAGCTTCAGTTCCCACTGGTTCCAAAAGGCAGCTGCGTTTTCTGGCCTTTGAGCATTTCTAAGTTTTCTCCTGGAATAAGGTGGTCAGGTGTGTCCATGTTAGGCGGCAGCACAGCACTTATCTTTCCTGTCTGGCAGTTGCAGACCACACTGTTTTAGTAACATAGGGTGCGTGACTCTGTCCAGGTGACTGACGTCTCTGCCCAGCTGACCCCTAATAGCCAGCCTGAGAAGGAGGGCCCTTTACATCAGTGCCTGGACTGTGAGCGTGCCTTCTCGTCAGCCGCCGTGCTCATGCACCACAGCAAGGAGGTGCACGGGAAGGAGCGTATCCATGGCTGCCGTGTCTGCAGGAAAGCCTTCAAGCGCGCCACACACCTCAAGGTGCGTCCTGGGACCCACAGCGCTGTAACCAAAGGGAAAACCGAGTGACACGTTCCTCCCATTATTCTAGAAACAGTGATGTAAATGTGTGTACCAACTTGTAGGTGTAAATAGGCCTGTTGAGTGTTTGTGAACAGATTACACATTTATGTACCTGTACCTTCTCAGATCTCTCCCCATTGGAAACTCTTTGTCCTTGTCCCTAACTCTCATCTCCTGCAGCCAGGGGACTGAATGCCTCCTGCTGATGCTCTCTAAGCCTCTGCTCTTTGCCACGGAAGCTTCAGGAAGGCATGCAGGCCATATCTGAGGCCATAAAAGAAGTTTTATCAAGAGACAGAAACCATCCCTAGACAAGACACAGGGGCTGCTGGGTAGCCTTCTGTGTCCCTCTAATTTTGGTAGAGGGTTGATTTTATTCTTCTGGTGGCCTGGAAGAATCGATCATTTCATGGCAATTATTAAGAACTCTGCAGTAAGGGAGAGTTAGGAGTGAACAGTGAGCCACTACTGTCCTTCCCTGACTCTGCTCATGCCTCCCAAGGGCCATGATGCCCCCCACCCCAGAGACAGTCTCTGCTCTGTCCAATCTACACTCCAGTCTTTCCTTTGCTCAGCACATATGCAGGAGCTCCCTGCAGAGAGCAGACATGCCATCATCTGTGGTGACAACATCAGAGCCACACTTGACTGGCCCTCCTGTAAGAACATCCATCCTGGAGAGCCACTCAGTCACAGTGCAGCAAACTCTCCCTGCTAGGATGAAGAAGTGCAGCTTGTCACTGCGCCAGCCGCAGTAGCAGCTCTGATACTGTGTGCACTGTGCACACTACTAATGTCACAGCGACTTCCCTTCTCTGGTTTATCTCCAGAGTTACAACATGGTCCTTTTCGAATAATGGATTATCTGTTCTTCAGTATCCATCTGCCTTCTAAGCATCAAGTGCTTAGGGTTTGTAAAAGAAGTGGTTTCAGAAGGCATGGTATTCACACATACATAAAGTGTGCCTTAGCTGCAGTGGAGAAGTGTCAGTTCCAGGCGTTGAGTTACACAGTGCAGTGTGACTGCTGAAGTCTTATGCTCTGCAATTTGTCCTAAACCCTTCCTGACCTTAGCATGTCAGCTAAGAGCAGTTTTCTCATTTTCTGTCTGTCCTCTGACCCACCTCATAGGCTGTCTGGGTGGAGTAGTGTTCTTCATGAATCTGTGATGCAGGTACAAACAGTGAAAGTGTTTACTTCTCTCAGAATCCTGCTTTAAGGCGTGGGGCACTTTTAAAGATCCCTCTCTCAGGGTAATTGTGCACTTAGTAAAACTTTGAAAATAGCCTCAGGGGGACACAACACAGTGGCTCACATATTTCTGAGAAAGCCATATCACACAGATTACAGCCTGAGGAGGGAGATATTGCCACTTGTATGGACATGGAGCTGCCAAGGCCATGGCTCCTCCTCATCTTGCTACCGTGATCAGCTCCAGGTCCTGAAATCCCAGGCGGAGGTCACCCATGATGTCGGTCTTGCAGGCTAATTGTATTTGCATGATAAATCCTTCCTGTTGCTGTTTCAGACCCCTCAGGTTCCATTAGGGCCTAACCTGTGCTGGTTTCTGTGTGTTCTGCCAGGAGCACATGCTGACACACCAGGCTGGCCCCTCACTCAGCTCTCAGAAGCCCAGGGTATTCAAATGTGACACCTGTGAAAAGGCCTTTGCCAAACCAAGCCAGCTGGAGCGACACAGCCGCATTCACACAGGTAGTGAGACGTGATGTGGTATTGTTCTTTGAAAGAGAAAGTCATTGGTGAGAAGGTGGAGTGAAGCGTGTGAATGTGTGTGGCGTGTTACAGTGTTTACAAACAAGGCCCTTGTGGTCCACGTCGTCCTAATCGTGATCAACTTCACACTCTTTTCTCACTTGGGTTTTGCCAGTTCTCTTGTGACCTTGGGGAATAGGGGTGCTTCCTTCCATGCTGTGGCCCCTTCCCTCCCTTTGGTTAGGAAGATGGAGGGCGCCCCTCTAGCCCTCTAGACTACTGCTCTGGTCTCTCCTGACTCTGCACTCTGCTGCATTTACTATCTGCATCTGCTTGAATCTCTTCAGAGGAAAAACAGTCAGAGAGAGACTAGCTTTCTTGGCCCAGTCGTATGTAATTTCCTTGCTGAGGCTGCAGAGAGTGAGGCTACTGGGGCTCACTGTCCAGCCATCCTAGTCTCCTGTTAGGTCCCAGACACTGAGAGACTATGCCTCAAGAAGCAGCAAAGAAGCTGGGCATGGTGGTGTACTGGGCAGGCTCAAAGAAGCCAGCAAACCTCTGAGGCCATCCTGGCCTGTGTAGCAAGTTCCAGGCCAGCAGGATTACTCTGTCTCTAAAACAAAAGCAAACAGAAGAAACAAAGCAGCTCCTGAGGAATGACACTGGAGATTGTCTTGATACCACCCCTAACCCCAAGCCTGTGCACTATCACATACAAATGCATACATACATGCAAGTAATCGATAAAATGCTGCCACTTGATTTGATTTTTGTTGTTGTTGTTCAAGACAGGGTTTCTCTGTGTAATAGTCCTGGTTGTCCTGGAACTCACTCTGTAGACCAGGCTGGCCCAGGACTCAGAATTCATAGAGATCTCCTGTTTCTGCCTCCAACATGCTGGGATTAAAGGCATGCACCTCACCCCACCCCCACCCAGTAAAAATTACATTCATGTTTCTGAGTTTTTCCATTTTATTCCTCTGTAATGTGGCACTGGGCTAACAATACTGTACCCTCTATAGCTGTGGGTGGGGGAGACTGAACTTGAAACATTTTCAACATATTTTTTTGCCAGGAAAACATTGAACTTGATGGTGATTGCCTCATACCCTCTAATCTAATGCATCGGTGGTCCATAATTCTGTCATGTTGTCATTGTGGGGTAGACATACTGGCTTGACTGAGACGGACTTGAGCCCTTCACGCACATCCTGAACAGGATGTCATTGTGGAGAAGAGCCAGTGAGATGGTCCCTGTGTTCTCTGTGCTTCCAAAGCTCCTGTCCTGCTGCTCCCCTCCCCTCCAGTCAGGCCAGTGTTACGTGCTGGGACTGCTTCTCCCTGCTCAGGAACATTCCTGACTGTGCTTTATGTCCTGGAAGATACACTGAGATCTTAACCCATGCAAGTGTGGAAAGACTGTTGCCACCTTTTGTTCTGTAGCAGGTGCAATGGCTGGTCTCGAGACCACTGGTGTGGCTGAGCCGGGCTGCTCTGCCCCTTGCTTAGTCCTTCAGGGCAGAGTCAGCTCCCAGCCCTTGGCTTGGGCATTCTGTAGAAAAGGCCATCTCAGACTTTTCTAAGAGGATGGGTGTGGATTACTCCCAGCCAGACACCTGCTTTAAGAGCTGTTGCTTAGCCAGGTCTGGCTGTCGTCTTCTCCCCTGGAGGTAGCTGGTGAACAGATCAGTTTCACTGCACTCAGTCAGGAGGATGGGTAGAAGCTTTTCAATTTGGGGTTTCACCCTAGGTGACTGAAATAAAGCCTCACTGGCTGTGCATAGTCTCTAAGGAGAAGAAACAGGACCAGCTCAGCATGTAGTCAGAGCAGTCATGGACTCCTGCTGTTCAGAAACAGTCTGTGAGTCCTTGTGAGGAAGGGCCCTGGTACTGCAGCAAGAGGCTGCTAGGCAGAGCAGATGGGAAGAACTTGTAGTCAAAGGGGGGAGGCCATACCCCATCCCCGGGCTCCCAGAATGACTCAGTGGTTGGGGATTGCTTCCAGGAAGCAGGACTACCATGGCTTGCCAAGGGAGACACTGAGGTCGGCTGGGTGTTCATCTGGGCAGCTCCCAGCGATGTCATGCTTTGCAGCTCCCTCCAGTTCTACCTTCACCTGAAGGCCATTCAGTAGCATTTTAAAGATTATAGGAAAGTATAATTTAATTGAGTTGATATTCTAATGTTCAGTTATGTCTTTTGCTTGTGTTACATAAAATATACTAGGACATATTGTTTAAACCATGCATGTTCTATCTCTGATATTTCTGTGAGTCTGGGTACTCATTGAATAAGGTTTCATTTTTGTGTCAGCATGGAGTATCTGCCAGCATCTTGCTAGTCAGCACTCTGGTGGTGGCAGCAGGACTGTCACTGAGTCTGTGTCAGCTGTGAACAGTCTGTGGAATGAGTGACGGTGTGTGCAGTCTTGAGAATGACACTGACTGTGGTTCACCTTTTGCACACAGGGGAGCGGCCATTCCACTGCACTCTGTGTGAGAAAGCCTTCAACCAGAAGAGCGCGCTGCAGGTACACATGAAGAAGCACACAGGCGAGCGGCCCTACAGGTGTGACTACTGTGTCATGGGCTTCACACAGAAAAGCAACATGAAATTGCACATGAAGCGAGCTCACAGCTTTGTGGGTAAGAAGTCTGTCCCAGAGAAGGCACACTTGCAGATGACTAGGTCATGGGGTATTTCCCAGGTGTTACCTTTACACATTTCACAGTGGCCATGCACCATAGCTTCTGTAAGGACTGAAGTTTATAGAAGAGGCCCTGAGCACAGGGTTGGAAGCCTGTGCTGTGTCTGCTTCCTGCCCCCTTGCCCTCCTTTCCTCTTTTCCTCCTCCTCTTTCTTATTCCCCCTCCTTCTTTCTTTCTCCTGAGACAAGAGTTAACTGTATAACCCAGGCTGCCCTCAAACTCTCAGTATCCTCCTTTGCCTCCTGAGCACTACAATTTCAGTCTTTTTTTCCACCATGCCCAGCTTCAGACAGTGCTTTCTGAAGGGAGATCAAGGCCGAGCAGTGTGAGCAATGTAAGCAGAGTTACTATCAGTGCGGAGTAGTGTGAGCAGTGTGAGCAGTGTGACTGTCAGTGTGGAGCAGTGTGTGCAGCATGACTGCCAGTGTGAGCAGCGGGACTCTTGTTTTCACAGTCTCCCTTTCTGGAGTGTTCAGGTCAGAGACACCTAAGTGTCAGGAGGCAGGATCAGCCTGGAGTCTGCACAGAGATAGGCAGGGTCTGCAGACTCTATGTTGAACACCATTGCCTCCATTCTGTCTACTTAGTCCAGGCCACACAAGTCGTGCCTTCTCTGTGGTTTGCAAGTATTGATGCCATCACAATTGGGTTATAGGGCGAGAACAGCTGCCTGTCCTGCTTGAGGTCCAGACCTCACAGTAGCATGGCAGTATCATTTTTACTTAACAGACTCAGGCATTTAGGTCCTGTTGCACTGGTGGCAGGAGTATGGAATATTAAAAGCTGAGTGGGGTGGGCAGTTGAGTTTTACAGCTGTGTATTTAAAGTACACTTAGTTGTAAGATGATAGGTTTTGTTAGTGAATGTACTGACCTTCGTGTAGTCACTGGGTTGTGTCTAGACATATCTGGGTAGAACTCTACTGTGTGGAGGGAAGGTCACTGTTGCCAACAGTGCCTGCCTGTTGGAGAGTGTCTGTATTGTGAGTGTCATTAGTTGTTTGTCACTGATTCTGTATTGGCATAGCCCTCAGGGTGTGAGTGCCCATATCTCAGAGCCTGTGACCAACAGACATTCTACCTAGGGGTCAGCACTTGTTTGTATGCATGAGGCGTAGGGTTCCAGCCCCAGAATTACAAGTTGAAAAATGGTCCCTCTGGTCCAGAGTTTCTCATTCCACTGAGATGGGAAGCAAAGCAAGCTAGAGATTCCTTTTCTCTGATTCCCATATACTCTTGTTTAAATGTACATGCTGGCCTGATTCTGAGAGCTGAGGCTAATTTTCTTTTTGCTTCTGCAGGAACCTTGCAGGCAGCCGCTGTGGTCCAGGAACAGGACGGGGAAGAGCTAAGGACCCTCCATTTAGAGGAGGTGGTGCAGGAGGCGGCGGGCGAATGGCAGACCCTAACCAATGTGTTCTGATGCCATGGAACAAGGCTAAGAGCATCCATGAAGCTATGTTTGTGAAGATTAGATCGCTCAGAGTTTCTGTTTTAAAACTTCAAGTGTTAAAAATCTACCACAGTAGTTTTTTTAGCTAAAGTTATTTGAAGAATCATTGTCATTCAGAGACTAACAGGAAACAACTGGGAAATGTACAAATGCACTGTTTTCATTTGTCTACAAATCACAGAACCTGGGCACTACCACGGTCACTGTTACCTTCTTATGGCCGGTGTCTGTCCTTAGCGGATGACCTGGATCTGAGTATCATTGCAGTGAGGTTTGTGTTAGCAAAAGACAATATGGCAAAACACACGTGTGGTAGTGCGTGAAGTTCAGAAGCGGTGCCATCACACATGGATGCTTTTCCACTTTTTACTCCGCGTTTTGCTAATTAGTAACAGCTCTTTTTGGCTCACTCTTACGTTAATGTAACTGATGCCTTGAGAGATGGCTGGACCAGTTCTCTCTCCATCACAGATCCCTAATCCCTAGTTAGAAGAACACAAGATCTGGCGACAGCAGGGCCACGGAGAAAATCTGACCCGCAGGCGAGGACCAGCTGCTCACATGGATGTCCACACGCTTGCTGCATGAATCTGTCCAGTCACCTGGTATTAGATCACCGCAGAAGCACAAGCCATACCCTGTGAGCAGGAATTGACAGAGTTGTCTCTTAAGGGACAGGAAGCTGTTCCTATCCACCTCAGTAAATTTATCTGTATTTTAAGGCTAAGGACCCACAAAACTCCTGCGACTTTTCTCCTCATGCATACGGAGGTGTGTTTTCATTTCAGGGAATCCTTTTAGTGACATCAGCAGTGCCACACGAGACACATCCCAAACCAAATCCCCCTGCACTGGCTGAGCAGTGCGTGCGTGCGTGCGCCTCAGCATTCCAAAGACAGTAGGTTCCCACTTCATATCAATTCCCTTGAAACTATTTATATGTTCTATATGTGAATACCTGTGTACATAGACAGATATATGGGCCTCCGTGTGGCTGAGAAGTATATTTTGTAAATAGAAGCACTAGTCCTCATCACAGAGCGCATCTGAGGCCATCCCTGGTGCACTGCAGACCGGTGTCGTGTTCACTCTGTTAATAAATGGATATCTTTTTCATTGTAACATAAAGCTGGGCTCTATTTTTTTTCTGAAAAAAAAATTGCCTTTATTTTCTCTCATTGCCTCCTTTGTTCCCGAAGAGAGCAGTTTTATTATAAATATTATGTGGACTTGTTCACTAAGAGTCCTGGAGAGAGACATTTCACTGTTATTTTAAAAGGGCATCTTTTGATTCTGTTCATTTTGTCATCTGTATATAAGTAATATTGACAGTGACATAAAAACTTTTGTTATGTGAAAATATTTAAGTCAGAGAACTGTTAAATATTATTACTTTTTTTCAAACTGATTTGTGTATTGTATATTTTTTTAAGAAGAAAAAAGCCTTACTTGACTTTTCTTGTGATACTGGACTTAAAGACGCCAAGGCTCCCTGAATGTCAGTGTGTACACCCGGCCGAGGTCGTGTTTTCAGAGTAATTGTAACTGTGCGAGAGTTCTAAAGTCTCTGCTATTAATGCACTTTTCTTTAATTTTTTTATTAAAGTATTTTAGAAATATTAATTTTAGTGAACAAAAATCCCCCAAATTGAAATTATTGCATTTAAACGTTTTTGTTCTTGCTGGGTTATTTATTTTCCTTTCAGCATTAAATGTCATCTCAGGACATCTGTAAAGAGGTTGGCTATTTCCCGATGGTGTCGTGAACGCAGGTGCTGACTGTGGCAGTCAGTGACCTACAGAAGTCAAACTTTTCTGTGTGACTCCTAAGAAAAGAAAATCTGCCAGTAATTCTCAGTTTACTAGCGAACAAGCATGACATGTATGCATTATGATTTATGTCCTTATCATCAAAGCTGCTTCTTTGCCAACATTCCTTGAAAATAACCAGGTTTCAAGAAGATAGCTCACTTGAGTACTGTGGTTTACAGGTTGATCTCTGTATTTAATGTTTGAAGTACTATTTTAGGAAAGTGGTTTCTAGCCTCATGTATAACCAGGGTTTGGAGGATAGAGAACTGTATTTTTTAGAACTCTCTATATAACATATCTGTTTTAAAATAACTAAATGCAAAATGACGTTAGGAAATGTGATGTACGTGTTTTGCTTTGTTTTGTTTTTAAATCATGTTTCAGAATCACTAGTTGGGTGGGAAATAAATTTCAGGTATTTTTAGCAGGAAAAAAAAAAAAACTGTAATGATATTTCTTTTACCTGTGTGAAGTCCAGAGAATGGAAATCCTCTCAGTGTCTCCCTGAAGCACACATTACGTCGAGCTGACAGTCGGATATGGCCCTTGAGAGCAAATCCTGTGTCTGGCGCAGTCCTGGGGGTGCCACTTGCTCCTTCAGTACTGTGGAGCCTTTTGGTCCCTGAAGGAGGCTCCTGGTTGGTAGAACAGCTAGGCATATCCTTGAAAGCACAGCCAAGGAGGCTGAGGCAGCAGGAGAATCCAGCATGGACAGACCTTTCAGAAGGGCCTAGATCAAAGCCAATATGTGGTGTGAATGGAAGTGTGTCTCACACCCAGCAAGCTTCCCTGCAGTCCTCAGAGCACTGGGTGCTTGTGTAGCAGTGAGAAGAAATCAGGGAGGGCCAGAGAGGCTCCTCAGAAATTACAGTGGGCAGCCTGCACCAGAAAAATGTGCGCTTGTTTGTATGCCCTCCACACCATTTTTTAAAAGAATTCTCATGAGCACCAGTGAGTTGAGCATATCTGTGTAGCCCAGATTTTAGAGAGTAGATATCATCCTTTCTGTGCGCTCTGTCTTGATAAGTGTCATTCACTCACTGACACTCACTTTCCTACCTAAAGGGCACCACACAGATGTCTGTAAGTAGCATTGTATATGGAAGTGCATATCTGTAGGCCTACTTTTGGGTTCTGTGTAAGGGATATCTCATGCCTCCTTACATAAGGGTTTTCTCCATAGCCTATTTCAAAATCCACACTTTGCCCTTCCCCCAGCTCCCACCAACAGTGACCCCAGGGCCTGGTGCTACTGAGTAGTGAGCCTTATACACGGTGAGATTGGTCCATAGTCCATTCTTCTTCTGCACTTGGTTTATGTTCATGGCATGTGGGTAAAATTCATGTAATTTAGAGGAAATGAGCTGTGGCTGCAAACACTTGTAATCTCAACACTTGAGAAATGAGGCAGGAAGATCAGAACCTCAAAGTCAGTCTCTATTACATAGCAAGTTCCAGGCCAGCCTGGGCTACTTGAGACCCTGTTTCAATGAAACAAAATCAAAAAGCAAGTAAAATTTCAAAATAGCTACCCACAATAGCCCAATTTAGTGTCAACTGATTTGGTTGTTTTTTGTCCTTTTTTTTTTTTTTTTTTTTTTTTTTTTTTTTTTTTTTACCTTATTCTAGTGAAACAACTGGAAATCTGTTGTTTGCTGTCTAAACAGGTTGTTTGCCCTCCTTGCTGTCTAAAAATTAGAGCCGTGTAATTCGTGGGAAGCTGGATGCCTGCACCGCACGCCCTGGAAGTGTGATGGTTGGCACTGCTGCCTCTGGCTGACCTCTTCCCAGGCACCCTCATGGTTAGGCAGATACATTTTGTATGGACTAAATGGTATAGATTTGTTAGTGTGTCAGGGGCAATAGGCAGTAATTAAAAAAAAATTGTGCTATTTAATCTTTTCTATGTGTGACATGGCATGAAGATTTTTGTATTGAATCAAGATTTGTATATTTGACAAGTTCTAAAATGCCATAGTGATTGTTCTTCAGCCACCACTAAGAAAATTCAAAGTTAATTTTTTAATTTACAGAAAAATTCTCTTTTTATCTTCAGAATTGTCTCATGGTCTATTTATACATTGGATGATATTTATTTAATCCAGTTTTGTATTAGAAATGGATAGTTATGCCAAAAGCCACTGTGTTGGCTTTTAAAAACAATAAAAATAGTTTTTGTATTATTTTAAAACTCCTGTGTATTTACTTCCTGTGGCCTGGGTGAAAGGTAATCACGTGCCCAGTGTGTTCTAGGGGCACACAGCTGACCAGACTTTCTTCTGGGGCATATTCTGTTGCCCTATCGTGTAAACTGTGTTTAAAAGTGATTTGGGTGGGATGAAAGTGACAAGAGACCCGCCTGTTTGTGTGAGCTGCAGACTGGCCCAGAGTGTCGACAACTATCGCTTTAGCGCACATGGCTGCATTGTGTGGTCACTCTTCCAGGTTGCATAGGGCCTAGAGTAAGTGAAGAGTGTTTGGGTCAGCTGAAGGGGCAGTTGGCGAGGAGGGATGACGAGAAGCAGCTCTCTATGTTCCTGCTATTTCTTGGTAGGTTTGGCTCTGGGTGCTGTAGGCTTATTACAGAGCCCCTATTGGGACGGAGTGCAGCTGTTTCAAGTGACTTTCCACGTGCAAGGTGACTCCCAAGACTGCTTGTCTTGAGGCCTGCCATGGAGTGATGCAAAAACCTCATCTATATATGGGCTTAGCTGCTCACATGTCCTGCCTAGCCCTGCCTGTGTTTCTGTCCTTGGGTAAAAGGCCTTGAGCTTTTTCCAGGCCTTCCATAACTGCTCCATGGCTACCAGTCTGAGGAGGAAAGAATTGCTTGCTCTGACCCTGGGCCACCTTCTCCAGGCAGGGTGGGTTGGGCCTCGGAAGGCAGGGGCAGTGAAAGGCTGGTTTCCTGACCATGCGGATAGAACTAGGGATCAAGCAAGGCTGCATGGCCAGGTTTCTCTGTGGTCACCTTCCCTCACTCACTCTCGCCCTCTGGGAATTATGGTGCTGATGCTCAAACTGTCCCTTGTCTCAATCCTGGGGAGTCTTGGCTGTCTTGGCCTGGGAGGTACAGCTATAGCGGCTGCAAGGATATTGTCTGAATGTAGACAGATTCTGTGGTTTGGCGATACCTCTGCCTCAACCCACAATGAATTTTTCCACAAATATACAAGTATCAAATGTCCCCTAGGAAAGGCTCCAGCGTGCAGTAAGGTCCTTCTACTGTCAGACACACCCATGTCATTCTGGATTGATCAAGAGAGGGCTTTCTGCCAATCCATACAGTCTGGATTCTTGGCAACAGAGCTCTATAGAGGGGTGAGAGATCTTACACTCTAGTACCAGGCACACAATGGCCAGCCATTTCTATATAGTCTGTTTTTGAAACTGCTTCGAAAACAGTAGGACAGAGATTCTCTATGCAAAGATTTTGACCATGAGTGGCTTCACACCCTTGGATTCCATCAAACATGGAAGAAAATGGACTTTGAAACATTTGAAACTGAACATCAACAGGCTTTTCTAACCTGTCCCCTAGACGCTGCTGCAGTGGCAACCATGCATGCAGCACTCCTGTGTGTGCTCTAACAGGTAACCTGGGGGTGAGTTTGGATGCACCAGAGTGTGTGTTTATTGTATGCAAAGGTATTGTTCTCTGTAATTGGAATGTTCTCAGATTTGGGTATCTAGGTGGGTGTCTAGGGCTACAGACAGCAGTTCCCAGTGTCATCCTGCCCTGACAGGTGGGTCTACCTTAAGAAAAGGTCCTCTCCCACACCGGCTTATTCCTGTTGATGTGGCTTGAGCTCCTTCCTGCTTTGTTTCATTTATCTGGCCATAACTGGCTGCCTTTAGTGAGATGATCAAATAACCCCAGATTTCACCACCAGGAGCTCTCTCTAGTAGCTTTTCATTCCTTGGGCACTTTTCTCTCCAGCACAATCAGTTGTTCCTTCCCAGCCCGGGCTTAGCCATTGCTCCTAAAAGACAGGAATTTAGAAATAAGGGCTAACTAGTAGGTATGCTCACTGTTGTCTATAAGGTCAGCAGAGATGGGGGAAATCGGTGTGTGTGTGTGTGTGTGTGTGTGTGTGTGT